GATGTATGTGTTCCATCTTACATGTATGTTATATTACAAGTTTATTTTATGTTTGTTTTGTGACTGGAGATGGAACTCAGGGCTTCATGGATGCTAGGCAAGTACTACCACTGAGTCACACCCACAGCCCTTGAGAATTGTAGAGTTTATGCTATGTAAAAAAGAGGGGACTACTCATCACCACGCCAATAACAGATCCTGACATCATTATGGCCCCCGACTCTAACATTTATAGCTATTCCCATCCAGCTGAGACCAAGCCAGTCAGCCCCTTCAGGAAATCTCCAGCCCTCTGGTGAGAGACACCAGAGCAGAGCTTGGACTGTTTGCTAAACTGCAGCCCGCACTAGGAAAGGCTCAGAGACTCAAAACACAGCTTCCCTCAAGTCACCCAACTATCTCAGGTGTCATCTGGGCTTCTTGCTCTACTTAATAATTCTGATGGTGGCCTTCAACAAATGTGGTACACGGAGCACTGGATAAGGAGGAGCTGGGACCCAAGGACCAAACCCCAGTTCTGACTATAGCTCACTGTGTGACCTTCACCTGCTGAGGGTGCTGAGACAATGTACCCCTGGGGCCTATCCCAAGAGATCCCTCCAAGGGGCAAAGGGACTCCATGCCACTCCCACAGGTGTACAAGCAGGAACTGAACATGGGCCTTGCCGACTCTGGGTGTGTCTTCTGACTCTGGGTGTGTCTTCTTCTTTGTTCCCTCCAAATGAGGGAGCTCTGAGTGTTGGCCATCTTGGGTCAAAGGAAGCAGAGGTGGAAGTGAAGGACCTCAAAATTATACCAAGATGCTGAAAATGGTTTTCCAGACAGTGAAAAAATGAAGAGAAGAGGGAACTGGGGGAAAGGAAGGATATTGATTCTAGAAGCTTCTGTTGTCAGCATCAGTCAACAAATGCTTCCTCTCCACTACACCATCCCCAAGAGACAGTGATGTGTGGATGGACAAACTCTGGTTCAGCAGGGTTGAGATTAGCCCCAGGAAAGCAGCCAGTAGCTTCCTCTGGGAAGAAGGGGTGTGGCCAAAGCGCTCACTTCTCTCCTGGGAGTGGGGGACAGAGCTGGCCCTGAAGCGGTGGAGAGGCTTGATATGGGAACTCAGTTTGGAGCGGCCTCAGTTCTGAGCATTCAAAGGCCTTCGTTCTGGGGCAAGATTAGACCCCAGCCAGTCAAGCTGGGCTCAGTATCTCACAGGTGGAATCTAGAGACCCCAGTCTCTGCCTCAGATAGCATAGGCCTGTAATTCTCTCTTCTGCAGTTGATAGGCTAGCCCTGCAGATGCATTCCAGGGGCACCAGCGAGGAGCCACCCAAAAACCTTCCTGCCCCAGCCCTCACACCCAAGTCCCTCCCTGTCAATGGTTCCCTGCACTTCATACTTTGCTTATATGGTTCCCTCTGCCTGTGCTGTCCTGGCCACTGATCAAAATCTGTCTTGCCTTCAAGGCCTGAATCATGATTAAGACACTGATCATAGAGATTTGAGCACGCTTAAGAGGCCTGTCTGCTAGATGGCCGTGACCTTGGAGGAGAAACATAGAAAATAGTCAAAGAAAGCCAAGTAGCTGCTGCTCCGTGAACTCACAGGAAAGCAGTGGGGTGGGGGTGAAAACGTGGCAGACACACGGCTGCTACTCTAGACTCAGTAAGCAGACGTGGGACTCGGAAACAGCCACGCATGCTCCATCCCGGTGACCAACCCTGAACTGGGACCCAAACCGTGCTTCAACTGACTCGGGCTTCCCGTTCACAGACCACAGCCCCGCCCTTGGTCTGAACATAGCTTCCAGAGCTGCGATCCCTGAGATGGGACCAAGGTCGAGCAGGTGAACAGGGCCCTATCCTCAGGGGGACCCTGCCCCGGGCATAACTCTCTTCACCCACCACCTTGAAATACTGTACCAAACTTTAATAAGAGACGGCACATTTTCATTTCGTATAAGGGCCTACAAATTGTCTCCAGCCCGAGTGAAGCTGTGGGCAAATGTCCCAGTCATTCTAACCCAGCTAACATGAGCGCCCGTCTCTGAAAGCTAAACCCTCTCCTACTGGGTTTCCACCTTGATTGAAACTCGGCTGAACCCTTCCTCAGTCTCCACATCATTTCTTTCATCCCTAAGGTGTCATTTTCCTGGGTTCCCTGGCCCCTCACACTCCCTTTTCTCTATGAACAGCAAAAGAGCTCACAGTTGGAAAGCTCAGCTTAGGGCTGACCTCCTCAACCATCCTACCGTATTTGTAGAGCTCAGCCTCTGAGGCATACTAATGAGAGAATTGTCAGCCGGCTACTTGGTCGGATCATAAAATCCAAAATCATCCCCATCATATAGCAAATGTCTGAATGCTTCCTCTAATAATGTAGAGACCATTAAAAGTGAATTGAAAACCTCCGATCACTGCAGCTAACGCCCTTGCTCTCCAGACTCTGCAGTCGGGCGCCAAATCAACCAGGTTCATTTTCATTCTCCCCAGGCCTGTACTCAGCTGTCTCATGCACTTTCATGGACTTGGGGCCTCATCATCTCAGAAAGAACACACTGTTCTCAGTGATACAGTTCATGCATTTGTGCGGGCTTCTCTTTCCATCGCTAACAATTAATATTAATCATTTCTGCCTAAATTTACTTCTTTTTATTTAGTTCTTAGTTAGCATTCAAAGTAATGACTCTCGCTATGATATTCTGACATGTGTATATTGTGGTAGTTTGCTCACCTTCACCCATCACCCTCTCTTCTCCTCCCACCTCCTGCCAAACATGACCCCTGTGCTTTTATGGTGAGGAAGTGAGGGAAAG